TTTGCTACTGTCTGTCACATCTGCATTAAAAAGTATCCTGCAGTTATTTTTTCTTGTTTTCATGATTTTTCACAGTGCTTCCTGAGGACAGCATTCATTCCTCAGGCCTTCCTTTATAAGAGCTCAGAGATGAGAAACAAGGAGGAATTGCTTTCTGGCGACCTAGAATTTTTCAAGGAACTCTTCCATTAGCAGCCGGTTGCCAAGCATGAAGCTGTACCTCCTTGGAGCTCCTTTGAAGTCAGTAGCATGAGTCTCTTTTCACATGTTATTCTCTGGTGACTTCAGTGGAGCTCTGCTGTGGCACAGATGTTGTCTGTGCATAGAGGCATATATACAAAGCTGGGATTACATAGCTGTAAATATGCACTTCTTTAAATTATCTTTCACTAGGGACATTCCAAAACCCACAGAAGGTACACATTTAGAGAGTTCTGCTGCTGCCTCTTCCCTTAGTGAATTGCAGTGAGCTGAACCTTGGCAGAGAAAAGGAAAAATTGAATATAGTAATCCTTTGTTAGCATCCCAGTTGTTCTTTATGGCTCATAATTTGTTTAGCTTTCATTTCTATGCCCATGCAGATTAACAATATTCATTACAAACTAGAGATATTTTTTTTCCCCAGAACACAATGCCGTAACTCCCAGGCTTGTAAAGCAGAAGATCCTTTTGATTTTCAGCCCAAACTATGATTTCTGGTTTGCAGCCTTCTTTCCCATGTCCATTTTTAATCAAGGCACTGCTCTGTCTATCAACCACCCCCTTCCCTTCTGAAGAGTTCAGCACGTAGGTCCATCTTCCTTCGTGGTCCTTTCTCCCTCTGCTCTTTCCACTCTTCACTCTCCCACTCTTGCTTATTCTCTTCTATGAATTTGCCCTACTTAATCATTGCTTTGCACAAGCCACATTCAGGGGATGAAAGCAGGAGCCAAGCAGTTAGTAGTAAGGGATGTGCACACACATCAGTCCCAGCTCCCAAGTGCAATGATAAAGCTAAGGAAGCTGAATGTTAATTGTAGCACTGTTCTAGGCTTCCTTTACATGACCCTTGCTTAGTTCGGCTCCACTTGCCTGGGACTAGGAAGTGTATTTTGTGCCTGGGCTGCTAAATTCCCTGACAGTCTCACTAGGCAGTTTAGTTGAACTAGTGCTTATGGCTAACTTATAGCACAGTAGTTTGGGTGTTTCCAATGAGTGATTATTTCAGATTTGCCAGTCAGGGCTATTCTGCAAGCAGCCTGCAATCCACCAAGTGCCTACAGGGGCATCTGCAGCAGAGCTTCTTCCCTTAGAGATAAGGTTCTTCCCATACACTCACCTCTTCTTTTTCCAGGATTGCATGTTAGTGGGGCAAGCAGTCAGTAATTATGTGACGATCATTTCCCATAATCCTACTGCAAATCCTAAAATATTTGGTGTTTTCTTGAAACTAGTTCATGGAGTTAGATGATGATGTGAAACACGAATTTGGAGGAAGGCAGAAGGAGATGTGCAAGGTGAATTTTTAGTTTTCATTTAGCAAGGAAGTGCTTGAGGATGCGATTTGTTCTCTCCTCCTCTTGTTTGCAGGTATGACATCATGAACCTGCAGTACATAGAGCAGAACCGCTACGACTACGTCCTCATTGGCACCTGGCATGAGGGCGTGCTCAACATTGATGACGACCGGATCCAGATGAACAAGAGCGGGATGGTGCGCTCCGTGTGCAGCGAGCCCTGCTGGAAGGGGCAGATCAAGGTGTGCATCCAGGAAAAAAAAATCCAGCAGTGAGGTGTAAATAACCAGGGAGTGTTTTTTCACCAGTTCCAAACAGGCTTCATGGATGAAGCTTGCAGGAAGCTTGTTTGAGTCTGGAATTCCTTAAGACTTCCTTTTCTTTAGGAAAACCAAAACAATAGAAAAACTCCTAGATCAAGTACTCTCATGACCTCATATATGGACCTATGTTTTCTGCAACTGCCATTGACAGTGATGCAAAATCTTATAGCATCCCAGGATTTTAATTCAATTTTGCCTGATGTGGAAATGAAGAAATTTCTTAGTCATTGCCTACAACTTTCAGTGGCCACTCGAGGGCTGATTTTTAAAACCTTTTGCCCGTGGTAATCCAGTACTTTGTTCCAGCAATAACAATTGCAAGAGAAAGGAAAAAAAAAAAAAGAAGTCTGTATCTAATGTTTACAAAAGGAGGTGTGAAAATACAAATGAAATGACACTCTGTTTATCAAACAGTAGCACTTGTATGAAGGAACAAGTATTTTGCCACTTGACATTCCTAGGTGAGGTAAAGACGTGTTTCACCAGTAGAAAAATGGTATGGCTGCACTAAGCTTAAAAGGACAATAGCCCAGTGAGAAAAATGAGCTTTTTAGAAAATACTTACATTTCTAATTTCATTTTATAAACACATTTGCAGCTTTTTAGCATTTTTTTTTTTGCAGAAATAGCTGATTTATGATTTGGCAAAGGTTTAGTGACATGTTCAGACAATCTTGGAGGGGTAACAGTATCATTACTTACTGTACTCCAAAACATCTTGTCCCTGTTTTTGAGATTGTGCATTTTGTGCATGTGTGTACATGTAAATAACATGCATGCTGCAGGAGGAAATATTAAAAAAGAAAAAGAGCCCACAAAGGCAGCATTCAAGAAAACGAACACTTTGCATTTCACTTGGCTCTGCATAGAGATAGATGGGCAGATCCTGGAGAGGAGACTGTATTCCTCCTTTCCGACAAGCAGAGCTAGAGTCCTCGTCAGAGCCCTGTGAGCAGAAAAAATCCCTAATCTTTCTTTCAGCCTCAGCATAATGAAATGAGCAGACGAGATGAGGAAACAACCTTTTCATTATGGGATCATTACACATAGCAGTGCTCACAGTAGAGCAAAATACATCATTCAGTGACATTTATCTCTATGAGAGCTGTTCCAGACCATGTTCTTGGTCACTGCAATTTGGTTTTATTTTCTACAATGCCCCATTATGTCATCTAACAGTGTACTTTTTTATCTGTATTTTTTCAAAAAAATTCTATTCACATTTGTGGAATGACACCCAAAGAGACTTCAGTGCAAATGAAAGTGTATGTGTGTGTGTATGTTTATTCCATATATATGCACATATATATCTGTGTGTATGAATCATAAATCACTCTCTGTTCTAACGTTTACCTTTGTTTACGCCTTTTTACTATGAAATGGATATCAAATGTGGGCTGAGCTGCTCATTGTGCCTCTGTGCTAAAAGGGAAAATGAGGCCTTTCAACTCTTAAAGAAACAAAGAGGCTTTTTTGGGGGGGGGGATTGTTTTTAGCTCCTAAGAATAAATCTTATTACAAAGAAGTAGTGAGAGAATCAGGATTCATGTTTTCTAGTCATTAGAAATGTCCCATATGCATGTCTCCCGTGATGTTTTTAACAGTGCAAATGGTACTTATCTATCTGCTGTGGGGCTTTATCATCCTACAGAGGATCATAGCTGAGGATATATTGTGCTTTACAGGTGATCAGGAAAGGAGAAGTGAGCTGCTGCTGGATTTGCACTGCTTGCAAGGAGAATGAATTTGTTCAGGACGAATTCACATGCAAAGCCTGTGAGCTTGGCTGGTGGCCGAACGCTGACCTGACAGGTAGGGACATCTCCCCCCAAACACATCACCATTCACCAGGACACAGAGAGAGCAGTGTGCAGTGGAGAGGAAGGTGGCAGTATGCAAAGATAGTAAAAGGGCATATTTAAACACACATCCCAGTGCAGTGTAGGGTGAGTGAAAATACACTATTGTCTGACACTTTGAGAGCAGGAGGGAGACGATTCAAGTGACAATAATAACAGGGGAATTTATACAAAAAAAAAGAAATATGTTTTGTTTGTCTTTGGTTAAAAAGAGCATTGACTGAGCTGTTAAAACTACTGATGAACTTAGCAGTGTGTGCTACAATGTTGACTGATTATTACCACAGGAGCTTGGTGCGCCATTGAGAGACTGACTTGATACTCTCTTTGCACATTCTACTATGCAATACGTAATTGTAAAGCTTTGTTATGGATTTCTGAGCATTCAGTAACTGATTGTCAGATTTCCTTTTAGCACAGAGATCATTCCAACTGTACCCACCACCAAGGGAAATTGCAACAAAGTCCCAAGAAAGGCTGGTGGAAAGAAAGAACCCAGTTGGAATTTGTCTCTTCTGTGCATATGCTTTGCATGGGCTGTATGTTATGGCACCCTTCTCAGTTACCTGTCAAGGACAAACCTAGTCCTTGTAAGTACTAAACAGTGGGCTTTCTCCACCCCTTTAGGCTCTGCAGTAACTGTTACCCCAAGAAAACAGATTTAATATGTTGAGAAGTGCCACATTGACCTTGATGTTTACTTTGCCTTTCTGCAAAAGACTACTGGCACCTCTGCCCTACACTGCATCTGCGTGTCTTGGCTGCCAGTATTCACCGGGCACCATTCTCGTCCAAGAAACACTCCAGTTACCCAGCTGAAGATCAAACATGCAGCTTGTCACATCCTTGTCCTTTAACATGACTGACTGGCAGACTAGACTTCTCTAAAGCACTAAACACATAGGCAAAGTACGTGATCCTTGGTTAGATGGGTCCAAGAGATACTGTTAAGCTACTGTTAAGTTGGTGAAGCCACAGGAGGTTTGAGAGGAATTTCTTTGGGAAGGGAATGCTGGACATTTCTCCAGTTTTCTCCAGTTCCGACTTAATTTTTATCAATTGCAATAAATTGGGAAACCTGGTTCATTATCCACCTTGGTTTTCTACAGAAAATAAGCTATGGTCATGCCTCAGATACATGCGTGTCTGCTTATATCCTATACCTCTGACCCACAACACATTCTCTCTCTCTCTCTCTTTTTCTATAATGTGCAATTGAACTTATATCAACCATTTGGTCAGGATACAGAGATCTCAGTGATTATTCAGTTCCCACAAGTTTCATAAGAATGAGTTGTAGGAAGATCATAAAAATGCCTTCTGTGAGGACTCTGGTTTTGGAAAAAAAAGTCTTGCATTGCTAGACATCAGAAAAGCTGCAGCAACCTTTATAAATGTCCTGGCCTCCGGAAAAGCTTAAATTCTAGCCCCATGTCTTTTACCACCGAAGTCTGTCTACTAACTACAAAACAGATATCCATAGAGAACCAGATGCTGTTAGCTTTGGAGGCTCACAGGATTATTTGTATCTCCTATTCAGTTAGGAAAACTGGGACTTCTTTTTAGTCAATAAAGCAGAACAAGAACATAGTGAGAGATCAATGTGCACTTGAGCGAATATGGTTCAGTGCTACCAGCTGCCCAAAATAACTTAAAAGGGAGCATGTCAAAATGACAGGCACTGCTGAAAGGAGTTGAGCAAAGCATCAGTTCTGGAAAAAAATCTCAGGGGCATGTTGCAATCTATTAACTTTTAATGAAATCAGTAAGGACCTGTTGATTTGTATTTCATCTCAGCAAGGAGACTGGGCTGCTGCTCTTCTAAAATCACAGAGACACCAGTCGAATGACAGTGAATGGCAATTCACTGACTAGAGAATGGCAAAATGGCAATCTGCTCCTTCAGATCTTTGCCCTGTCTAATTGAGGACTTTCCTTTTTTTTTCTAATCCCTGTGCCATTGACCTGAAGTGCAAAAAGTGCAAAACTGTGAAGAGAAGCTTAAGGGCATCCCGAACTTTAGAAAAGTGAAATTGATCTAGATAAATTCTGACTCTTCATCTTTGCTAGAGTCATCATGTGTACAATTTGGTTCGAACATCTTTTACCTTGCCAGCATTTCCCTCATCAAATATGTTTTTATAGCTTCACTTTGTATGTTGTATTTATACCCTGCCAGTCACCATAGCATCTAGACACAGACATTAACATCTCGCATTCCAGATTGTTTTTCCCTTTGCCTTAAATCTTAAATGCTAAAAATGAATATAATTCTAATCCCATTTTCTGTCATAGAATCCTTAGGCTAAAATCCTTAGTTCCTTTAAGAAACGCAGAGTGCATACTAATCCCATGCCCTAAGATGTGCTTCTCAAGATATTCATGTCTCTTTTGACATGGGTTTCTGTTGCTCTGCAGTCTTTCTATGATGTTTAATCTTATTTTCAAATGTAAAATATTTCTAGATTGCTTTCCCTGTACATGTGTTTACTGAAATAGAAGTCACCAGACATAAAGAATTTCTCCCCATAAATGATATAAACCATCCATTCTACCTGACCTGAGAAATAGTCACTAAAATCAGACATCTTGAGGCATGAGCCAAGAAGAAGAGATATCTTTTATAGTATCAGAATCTGTAGAAGAAGAATGAATGTCAGTCTAGTAAGCCTAATTTTCTTCACCTTAAATAAGCAAAAAAACAAGGTAGGACAGTAAGTTTTATAGAGCTGTTATGAAATGAATCTTAGAGGTTTGTGACCATCAGTTCCCTGGGATGTATTAATGACCTCAGAAAACATTCTGGGGTATCTTACTGGCCTTGCAATATGACTATCATTTTTAAGAAAATCAATTAGCCTTCTGCTTTGGAAAAATGTTCACAGTAAAATTGTAGAGAAAATAATAGATAAAAATTATAAAACAGCTTTTTACTAACAACAACCTTTTCTTTGAAAGTTTTTCTACTAATTTTCTGGGGTTTGTTTAGTTTTTGTTTTTTGTTTTAACCTGTAAGTATATGATTTCCTGGGCACCTTCCCCCTACCTCAACAAGCTTCCTCAGCACACTTTTCCCTAGCTGGGAAATGACCCACCTTCCCAGGTGCTGACAACCAACAACCGTCTGCTCATAAAAGCACTGCAGGCAGGTTTATTTTTAATGATTGTGACACATGTAGCTTGCCTGTGCACAATAATTGCACAGATTTAGCTAAATACATTTCTAAAACCTTACACAATATAAACTTAAGCAAATGATAAGGGTTTAACTACCATGCTAAATCAGCACTCAGGCTTTAAACGTATCATATAACACGGAAAAACAAGAGTGTGGCTTGATGCTGCTAAGCCCAAAGTATAATTTAAGCTTATAATTTAAAACTTAACCCTTCCAGCATCCCCAGAGTGGCTTCTTGGTTAAATAAAAAGTTTTGTGGGTATTAACCAAAAAGCAGCAGCTCCTGAACATTATTTGACTATTGAAATAGGACGGGAGCTGAATCCAGTCCAGGATTGCTGTGGCGAACAGCCAGAACATCACAGTTCTGATAAAAAGCTTTTTCTTCAGTTACATTTCACCATAAAAATAATGATTAGAAAGACTGTTCTCCTTCCTCAGAGTCTTGAACAAACCACACTGCACAAAACAGAACTGCTTCTCTTTACAACATAAGACCTTCAGCTGTCCACAGTATCGTTTCCATTACTTTTGGTGTTACAAGTGATAGACAGCACTACCTGTCAATAAGTCAGCTCAGTACCCTCAGAGTGAGAATGAGAGAGAGTACAGAATTATAAGTCATTCTTTCACTTCATATGACATTGGCAAACTTTAAAAGTTTGGGAAGAAAATTTCCATGTCAGGACTTTGCCTCAGGCTTTTTTTTTTTAATTTAAACAAAAATGTTTTTTCTGGTTCTCACAATGAGGTTACGGCTGAACTGTGTTTGCTCAGCCTTGATCCACACCTTTAACTATTTCTCCTGTACTTGGAAACAAGGACTTTACATTTTAGCAGAGGTGTAACTTTGTGATGTTTTTGTCGCCTTACAATAGATGCCACTAAACTGAGCAAAATTCTGGGCTCCAGAAACTCTTCTTTCATTCAGGTTGATCTCTGTAGACACACTCCGTCCTCCAGGAAGGAGGAGCTGAACATGACTTTGCTGATCACATGCTAGGATTTAACAGCAAAGATTATTATTATCATCATCATCATTATTATCATTATTATTAATTATTATTATTAATAATTATTATAATTATAATTATTAGTTATTATTATTATTGATTAATAATAATAATAAGCCTCCCTTACAAGTTCCCTGACTCCAGAGCCTTTTTCCCTCTCTTGCCATACATATCCAACAACCCTGATGGGCAGAGAAAACAGCAGCCGTTATTGCTGGCCATTACTGCATAGTGTTCATATCCAGCATATGAACCAAGCAGTGGTTGTGGTGGGGGCAGCTGGGTGGAGAGATGACTGAGTTGAAGAAAAAGCCTGAAAGGGACGGGGCACAGAGATGGGGAGGTTGAAGGATTGAGAGGGGAGGTACTTGCGAAGCAGGGAAAAGGTACATGAAGCTGGAAGATAAGCTGAGTCCAAGAGAAACGGGAGGAAGACAGAGACCAGAGAAGAAGATGGGCGCTTAGCATGGGATACAAGCTAAGCGGGACTATGATTGCAGGTCTGCAGAATCTGGGCAGAGAGGACTAACCGTTAAGGAAGATGATTATTGAGTGTGCCCTTCCTTAGTGTTGGACCAGTCGGCTCTGAACGCAGCTGATGCCTCTGAGGCAGGCAGAGGCTGCCCAGCTCCTGCTGCTGTCGCTCACTTCAGTGGCTCCTCAGCATGAGTCCAAGCCGTTCCAAAGGTCCCGGCTTTGCTGATGACCCACAGAGGCACTCTTCTGTCACTCATTCCGATCTGCTGCTTAACGGCAGAAAAATACCCGGGAACACACTAAAAGTACTAAAAGTACCTTGACATCAAGTGGGCGGAAAATATTAGGAAATATTAGAACGAATGTTCCGAGTAATTTGACTTCATAACCTTATCATGCTGTTAACATAGAAGATTTTATTTGCTACATAATTTAATGCTGATTTTATATCTCCAGTCCAGTGAGTAGCTATAAATACCTCTTTCACCTGAGTTTGGGAGAGCTGTGCTGGTTAAGTACTGA